AGCAAAAAATCCCTAAACCTGTGAGATACTTGGGTTTAGGAAGCAGGTGTTCCAGCTGTGGTGGTCATCATGGCGAGGATGAATGATGAAGCTCCTGATGGTTGTTGGCGCTGAAAAACCTGCTGCCCATGAGCAAAGCAGCATTTTAACTCCATCAGAAGGTTTGACACCCGGAGGAAGAAGGCTGCTAAACAGAAGTCGTCTCCCGGAAGTCGGACTTCTGAAATTTCAAACATGATTTGGTGCGAAGCTTCAGTTTAAACCTGCAGGAAAAGGAAGCGGCTTCGCTTGTCTTCATGTTTATTCAGCCAGAAAAGTCCAGAGGAGCGAAGGTTCCAAGCCGCGTGGTTCCACGCCGCGTGGTTCCACGCCGCGTGGTTCCAAGCCGCGTGGTTCCACGCCGCGTGGTTCCAAGCCGCGTGGTTCCACGCCGCGTGGTTCCAAGCCGCGTGGTTCCAAGCCGCGTGGTTCCTGGCCTGGCGCTAACATTAGCCTGCAGTGCTAGCTCCACACCTGCCCCTTTCCCACCAATCAGAGCCTCACCTGCACAGCGTCAGGAAGTCCTACTTTTACCTGTTGTGCCAGAGAACAACCATGGCTAACTGCTAATGTTGCTAACGCTAAAAATACTGTAAACATAATTCATGTTCTCTGGCCAATGAAGAGGATTTGAACAACCTCCGATTCCCTTCTTCCTTAAACTGAATAAGCATGAATTTAAATAGAAGTTCTTCAGACTTGTTTCTTCCGTTAGCAGGTTTATAACTCCGCTAACGGGAGCTTAGAGCTTTAGCAGGAAATGCTTTGATCCTGGAAGACTAAACCGCTGATAAGATTCATTGCATTAATTACATAACGTTTGAAATTCAATCCAAGTTCATTAAAAACCAAATAAAAACACTTTGTTTTATAGAAACAATACTTTAATGTGCTACATCATGTAAATATATAAAAGTATCATCAAAATAGTCTCTCATGTATAAATTCAGAACATTTGATAACCAGTTTTTTAAAAAGTAAACTACAAACCAGTCTGTACAGAAGATAAAAAAAACAACTACGGATAAGAAAAGCACTTCCTGTCCTCCAGGTTCTGGTTCTGGAGGTTTTGACCAAAAGCTTGAAACAGTTTTTTTTTTTTTTTTTTACTACCGGACATTAAAAAGCTGAAAGATTCCTT